AAGAAAAAAAAGGAAAACCCTCATTTTGCAGGAAGGCTCCACACACATCATTCCCTTTCATCCCACATTGCCAGTGTGAGCAGTGCAGTGTACAGTGCTGGAAAACTCACTGCAGCACAGGGGAGGGTGTGAGTGCCCGGCTGTCTGCAGCCAGAGGGGCACTTGGCACAGGGCAGAGCCAGCCCTGCTGGAGCTGCACTGGCACGGTGCAGGAAATGCAGTTACTGTGCCCAGCACAGGCAATGGAGCTCAGGAGGTCAGCTCAGCACGGTGTCTTTGTCTGCAGGGGTGCCCATCATAACCCTCAGCACCTCACACTGCAGGCAGTGCTGACCCCAGGGCCAGTCATGGGGACAGCACTCAGTAATTACAGCCTAAATGCAGCATTTCTACAGAGTTTCTCAAATGCTCTGGCCTGAAAAGCTTTCCTGACAGCATTTCAGATTAGCAAAGCTGGGACAGGGTAATATTTGTGATATTTATTGTCCTCACAAGCAAGCAAGCAGTGGGTTTCCTGTCCAGAGGTGCCAGAGGAGTCCAGCCAGCCCTGGGGGTCTCAGCATCAACCCCACAGGCAGAAGACCAGACCTTTGCAGAGAAGTCTTCCTTCTTTCATCTAGGATAAAGTACAGAAAGAGAACAGGTTCTAGGGCAGAACTGAAATTGTCCCCTGCCAGGAGACAATAAAGAGGGAACACACCATGAGCTGGAAACCACAGCTGCAGCAGAGGATGTATTTTTGGTGATGCAGCAGCACAGTGCCCAGCTGTGCAGCTCACACTGACACACAGCAAATATTTTGGCAAAATAGAAACTTCACCTGTTACCACTGCAGCAAACCTCTTGTGGGGGTTTTGGCCACTTCCTGGTGGGATGCTCTGCTCCATAAGAGGCAGAAATGGTCCCAGGACTAGGCCAGGGGCAGGCAGGGTGCTTCTCACCCAGGCTCTGCTCTGCAGCTGCCAGGAGCCCAAGGGTCTCTGCTTCACGGCCATCACAGGGACAGATTCTGTGCCTTTCCATGAATTTAGCTTAAGCCTTTGAATTAAGAGATGAAGGAAAACGAGATTAAAAAACATTTGCAAATAAGTATTTTCTGGGCACTCAAGCAGCATTCCTGCCCTCTGCTTCTTGCAGAGCTGAGGGCAGCAGCACAGGGTGGCTGCTGGGGCTCAGAGGTGCTCGTGGTACCTGCACTGAGCACTCCAGGAGCCCAGCCCAGTGTGGTGCATCCCTCTGGGCCACCCTGCAGCTTATGGAGGGGCTTTACCCTCCTCTGCTGCTGCTTTTCCAGCGTTTGAGCCTTGCTGGGGAGCTTTGCTGTGCTGGTTTGCTGTTCCCCCACACCACTTTTCTCCTAGGAAAAGCTCCTAATGCAGGGGACAGCTCCTAATAAAGGGGACAAGCTGTTGGTGAAGTGCATCACTGCATCCCATGAAGGAGTCCATGAGTGCACCAGCTGGGCTCACTCTTTGTGGCTCAGGAGCTTCCCAAACCCACTCAGGCACCTCTGCAGCTTTGTGTGGGGATCCAGGGATCTTCAGCAAGTAAAATAACCAATATTTAAAGCACATTTATAGCTTTTCATCCATTTGTACCATGTTGTAGGCCTCTGTAAATGCATATCAGAATATTTATTTCACACAGGAGTGCTAAGCAGTCTTTAAACTGAAACTCTGAACTTAGCAGCCTGTAATTCCAAAGTGTTACTATTAAAAACATCATTCTCATAATAAACTTTTGGCATCACAACACTATTTGCTTTTAATAGAACAGTACTTCTTAAGCAATTCAGTTAATTTGATTTATGACAAAAAGAAATTTGGAGACTATAAAACCTCAGGAAGAGAACAGCAGGGAAGGCAGCTCTGTGATTACCTCCCCCTGCACACATGTAAACTGCAGATGAGGTAAATTAATACTGAGATTTAAAGTTACTTCTTCACATTAGAAAGTTGAGTGAGAGGAGACTGCCAGGCTGGAAAGGAGAGGGCTGTGCTGTCCCACAGCAGGACTGTGATTCAGGAACTCTCTTCCCACACTGAAACAC